CACACACTATATGCAATGCAATGCAGTTCACAATTCTCACAAGCAATATTCAACATCAAGCAACAATCAACAGTATTAATCCATCCCTAGATCTATGTTCTGAAAGCAAATAACAACCTAGCAAACAGCACAGATCTACAAGTTACGACCTAGAGCGGAACTTGTAGGGGATTTAAAGGACTTGGAAGTCAGATCTAATCAGGAGAAGCTAGCTAACAATATCGAAGGGAAGACATGAACACATCCTCACCTTTGCCTAATTGAATGAAAGCTAAAAAGGGATCTAGGGTTTAAGGGATCTAACGACGAAAAGCAAAGGACTCAAGAAAACGGCGGCTAGGAACGGCGGAACGACGGCGGCTCTCCTCGGCGGTGGCGGTCGGCGGTGAAGACGAACGGTGGCGGCGGCTTGCTCGGTTAGGATTCCTAGATTCTATCTCTGAGTGCTTTGGGAGTTGTGATGAAAAACCTAACTCTCTAGCTCTGTTTATATAGGAAAGACTCTAGAAAAATCCTAATACCCTTTCCTCTTGGGCTTCTGACACATGGGCCTTTCCTTTTCCTGTTGGGCCTAGATCCAGGGCGTTACAATTCTCCTCCTCTTTAGAAGAATTCGCCCTCGAATTCTCGCAACCACCCTTTGATCCCCTCGCACCCTCAAAAAGTTCAGGACACCATTTCCTCATGTCATTTTCCTCTTCCCAGGTCTCCTCACTAATTCCATCTCTTTCCCAACACACCAAGACCATCCGGGTTTCCTTCCCATGAACGTCCCTTGTCTGATATTCCTTTATCGAGACAGGCGTGCTCTGCACCCGGAGGTTTTCACTCACATCCCCTGGCGGATCAGGTAGATCAGCTCAGGCTCTCTAACTACCTTTCTCAACACAGATACATGGAACACATTATGGAAGTCAGACAACTCTTGTGGCAAATCCAATCGATAAGCCACATTGCCAACTCTCTCAATGATCCTATATGGTCCTATATACCGTGGCTTAAGCTTATTCAGCTTCCTAATCTCTTTCACACTGGTGAAGGTTCTCATTTTCAGGTAGACCTCATCTCCAGCTGAAAATTCTAAGTCTTTCCTATGCTTATCGGCATAACTCTTCTGACGGTTGTGGGCTTCCTTAAGTCTGTCCTTAAGCAAGTCTACCTGTGTAACCGTCTCCTTGACCATGTCCGGCTCTAGGTCACGTCGTTCACCCACCTCAGTCCAACAGAGGGGAGTGCGACACGGTCTACCATACAGAGCCTCGTATGGAGACATACCGATACTCGCGTGATAACTGTTGTTGTAGGCAAACTCAGCTAACGGTAAGTACTCGCCCCACTTCCCCGCCCAGTCAAAAACACACGCCCGGAGCATGTCCTCGAGGGTCTGAATCGTCCTTTCCGATTGTCCGTCCGTTTGGGGGTGATAGGCAGTACTGAGATGAACCTTAGTTCCTAATGCTTTCTGAAAAGCCTGCCAGAACATCGATATGAACTTCGGATCACGATCTGACACTATGCTAACTGGAACTCCATGCAGTCTCACTATGGAATCCAGATACTTCTGAAGCGATCGGCTCCATCCGTCTTTCTAATAACTAAGAAGTGCGCAGACTTGGTAAGGCGGTCCACGATTACCCAAATCACATCCTTATATCCAGTCGTCCGCGGCAGTCCGCTGACAAAATCCATAGTTACCATGTCCCATTTCCATTCTGGTAGTGGTAAGTTCTGGAGTAGTCCGCTTGGAACCTGATGTTCTGCTTTCACTTGTTGACATGTCTGACACTATGATACCCAGATGGCGACGTCCTTCTTCATACCGTCCCAATGGTAGTACCTCTTCAAATCCCGGTACATCTTTGTGCTTCCCGGATGGATAGCAAACCGTGACTGATGAGCTTGGCGCAGGATTTCGTCCTTCAGATCCTTTACCCTCGGAACACAAACCCTATCACGGAATAGGTAAGTTCCATTGAGCGCAACGCGGTATCCATCCACATTGCGGTCAATCATCCTTCTGAGTGCATGGTCGTCCTTCTGAGCCTCGCGGATCCGTTCCAATAGGTCCGCTTGACCCACGGCTTCCAAACCGTTGGCCGGCTCACCGATGGTAGTGGCGCACAGGCGCAGGCTGGCTACCATCAAGACTAGCTCCTCAGCTTCCTTAGCAACTGATACATCTGCCTTTCGTCTACTCAGGGCGTCCGCCACCTGATTGGCTTTCCCGGGATGGTAGACGATATCCAAATTGTAGTCTGCCAACAACTCTACCCACCTGCGCTGTCTCAGATTCAGGTCCCCCTGGGTAAAGATGTACTTAAGACTTTTATGGTCCGTAAACACTTGCACCTTCTCCCCGTACAAGTATGAACGCCAAATCTTAAGGGCAAATACTACTGCTGCTAACTCCAAATCGTGAGTGGGGTAATTGACCTCATGCTTGCGCAACTGCCGTGAGGCGTATGCGACCACCTTCTCCTCTTGCATGAGCACGCAACCGAGTCCAGTCCCCGATGCGTCTGTATACACCACGTATGGTACACCTGTCCTTGGTAATACCAAAATGGGGGTATCGGTCAAACGTCCCTTCAGATCTGCAAAACTCTTGGCACAAGCTTCCGTCCATTGGAACTTGACGTCCTTGCCTGTTAAGGCTGTCAATGGCTTGGCCAATGCTGCAAATCTTTTCACATACTTCCTGTAGTACCCAGCCAAACCCAAGAAACTACGGACCTCAGTAGCACTTGTCGGCGCAGGCCAGTTGGTAATAGAAGTGATCTTTTCCGGATCCACTACTACACCGACTTCGGATACTACATGGCCTAGGAATCCGATCTTCCTCTGCATGCCCCCTGGCACGAGTCCGCCCGGTATTGCCTCCACTCACACTTCCTGTTGAAGTGGTTTGGGTTCCTTCCTCACTCTCACGGCGTGCTGCAGCCCTAGTCAAACGCTGTCCCTTTGGTGGCATCTATTCACAAGAATAAGTAATCAGAATCGTGTCCTCCGATTCGATTAGCCACACCTGATGCAGTTACACAACAACTAATGCAGATACATCAGACACTAGACAATGTAGACAACAGATGAAGATGGTAGACACAATGTAGACTGTAGACAGCAGATGAAGATGAACTGAAGATATTTAAAAACACTAACTTACTGAGCCTGGAGAGCAGAGTGACGTGGTGTGATGATGCTGTTTTATTTTTGAAAACCCCAACCCACTTTTAAAAACTTTTGAAAACGGTTTTACTTTGAAAACATGTCTCCCGGGTCAAAACCGGTTTGACTGGTAACCTTGGCTCTGATACCAAATTTGTAACACCGCCTCTCCTCATATGAGATGACGTGTTAAACACTCAACTTCCCAACCAAGTTACCACAACATTAACTCCAAATCAATACTCATTTCATAAATATAAATCCAAATAGTCTTGCAAATAACCAACTTAAATTCGAAATAAAACATAACCAAGTCTCAAAACCAACTGAAAACCATTTGAAACAGAAAGCTAAGTGTCTTAAGGACCCCAAGGACCGAACTAGAGAACCAGCTCACCACCATCACACGCCAATCACTCCTGCTGCTCCTGCTCACCTGTACAAGGGGGAACGGGAAAGGAGGGGATGAGTAATTTAGATTACCCAGGAGAATGCATACATGTGGTCCACCACACATATCATTACCCAACTTGTCGCTAGCTAGAGTCAAACGAACAAGCGCAGTTTAATGATTCCTCTAACAATCAACAAACAAATATGCAATGAACAAAGCGAGCATACTGAACGCCTCTCGTTACAGTATCCCATGGATTAACCTCCACAAGTTTCGTATGTCTTACACCCTTGCTAGGAGACGCATCTCCACAAGAGTCTAAGTCGCTGCACGACTGGTTCGTCAACCTGAGCACCACATGGCACTACGATAGGCACATCCTCTGTCGCAGGCGTCAATCATGCCAGCAGTGCCTCTCACTGCTGGGTCCTAATGCAGTTTGTGCTTTCACACACTATATGCAATGCAATGCAGTTCACAATTCTCACAAGCAATATTCAACATCAAGCAACAATCAACAGTATTAATCCATCCCTAGATCTATGTTATGAAAGCAAATAACAACCTAGCAAACAGCACAGATCTACAAGTTACGACCTAGAGCGGAACTTGTAGGGGATTTAGAGGACTTGGAAGTCAGATCTAATCAGGAGAAGCTAGCTAACAATATCGAAGGGAAGACATGAACACGTCCTCACCTTTGCCTAATCGAATGAAAGCTAAAAAGGGATCTAACGACGGAAAGCAAAAGACTCAAGAAAACGGCGGGTAGGAACGGCGGAACGACGGCGGCTATCTTCGGCGGCGGCGGTCGGCGGCGAAGACGAACGGTGGCAGCAGCTTGCTCGGTTAGGGTTCCTAGGTTCTATCTCTGAATGCTTTGGGAGTTGTGATGGAAAATCTAACTCTCTAGCTCTGTTTATATAAGAAAGACTTTAGAAAAACCCTAATACCCTTTCTTCTTGAACTTCTGATACATAGGCCTTTCCTTTTCCTATTGGACCTAGATCCAGGGCGTTACACTATCATTCAAACCCAATCTTGGGACACATGTTTTTGTTGACTTTCTTGGCTGACGTGCAGAACAAAGCTCTAGTGTATTCCAATCGTCGCTCCGACCCCAACAAAATCGTACACATTGTGGGAGGAAATGAACACAAACACGTGGCTCTTCATGATCGACAATTTGGAATCAGTCCTTCATCTTGCCAACTTCTTCTGAATTATGTTCCGAGTTTGGTTCACATCCAACAAGATACACTTCTTGGGAAACGCAAATGAAAAGAGCAAAGCTTGTGATTTGTAACTGTCTCTTTTCATTATTTTTTTTGTTTTGGAACTCAAGTCTTATGCTGTTTAGGTTTTCCGACGATTAAACTTTCACTATACATAAGATTTATGGGTTTCATGTATGATATATATATTACCATGTCTTCTTCTTCCGTTATTTCCGGAGATTAAGAGAGAAAAGTTAGGGCTCGTTCACAGCCTAACACCACTTGTTGAACAAGCAACCGATGTTCACAAAGCTTTCAAAATTTTTCTGTGGTCTGCACACACACAAATGTGCAATGAAAATAGCAAAGAAGAGTTCAGAAATTTAATTGTTAATCTCTACTCCTTTCTCTTACAAGCTCTCATGTTTCTCTTACAATGCTCTCATCTTAGCTATTGAGTTTTTTTCTCTACGAGAGGATTGCAATCCATTTGACACTGTAACACGAATATCCTTAACTCCCAAACGAAACAAAGTAGGAGTTTTCACCTGTAACAAAGATGAAAATGTCTTGACAACTATTAACACAAGGTTGATGCAGTGATGGAGAAAATTGGACCTTTTAGAAGGCGTATAAGCTCATGATCACCTGTAATTTACAATCAACAGACTGTTCCCAGTCGAGGTGAGATAAGCCATTTGTTGGAGACAATGAGGACCTCCATGAATAACAACGACTAGAGGATCACATTTCCCGCTCTTCTTAAGCTTATAAGACGATACATAGATAACTTTAATGGCTTTCTTGACCCCTACCATTGGTTGAACAAATATCAAATGCATTTTACAGTCCATCTCTTTAACTTAGTGTAAAGTACCTTCGTGAAGATCTTCAGAAACATCACTGACAGGGATTTCAAGAACTTAAGAAAAACATCAATTTTAACAAAAATGGTCTAGTCACCTGAGATGACTTGAAGTATCCAACCACTGCCATGAAAGTTTACCAGATGTGTTGTTGAGCTTTCTCCTCCCCTACTTAATTTCAGGAACACTCACTGGACTGCTACACACTTTTCACAAAAGAAACTCGTATCTTTCTTGTGCTTAATGGGACAGTAACAAATCAGAAGATGATCGAGAAGTTACCGGCAACCGAGGGGAGAAACCACTGCTTATGCTCTTTGTCAGATTATAAATGGGACTATGCTTCATTTTCACCATTTCTGTATGATAAGCAAACACCAAAGAAAACATAAGACCATTTAAAAACTAAGAATCCTCAAGTTTCCATCAAGAAATGCCACAAAGTATTCATCTTGGAATCTTCATTGATTGGACTCCAAATAACTTGTCCAGCCCTTAAAGTTCTTGAAACTCCTTTAATATGTTGGACACCTCCACTGTGAAATCAAAAGTAGAAGCCTTTTCACAGAAAGTCTAACCCATCATTAAAGAGAACATTTTTCTTTCTCAAGGTTAGTAGAGACTTGTAAACATCGATAACAAACAACGGAATCTGCTATTTTTTCCAGCATATGCTTCTCCCCAGTCCTCTTCCCAAACTCCTTGACCTTTCCAGCTTCCCCAATCGTCTCCTTAAATGGTTAAATGTAGGTTTAGAACGAGAAGGTTCCTCTGCAACATAAGCTACATGAGTCTCATCAGAGTTCCAAGAGATCCCTTCAAACCTGCATTATAGAGATTACACAGCCTTACTTCACTAGAACTGGTCCTTCACATCAATCCAACAAAAAAGATAAAAACCAATGTGTACCATCCATCAACATATACAGAGCCATGAACTCTCTGTGGAGACGAGCTCCATACCTCAAACTGTGTAGGAGGTTCATTTTCAGAGTTTCGAACTACAAGGAGCTTTAGAGCTGAGGGAGATAGAGTGAAAGCTGATAGACACATCTCAATGGGAAACGGTGCCCAGTGGGATCTCACAGACTCTCTACGTTCTTTGGAGATTTGAGTTGATAATAGAAACTTTCTCCTTTTGTTAGCTAAAAGGTTTGCTTGACTCATAGCAAACATTGCCTGAGAACCTGAAATGTAACCAGTTTCAGATTATGTGAGTGAGAGATTTAAAAAATCTTGAAATTCTCTAATTAATCAATGAAATTGAAGGTACCAGCTTCGGATTTGAAAACCCAATCTTTATCATGAAATCTTCAAGTAACTTCGATTGCGAGGAATCATACTCTTCCTCCATTTCAGAGCAATCCATGGGCACAACTCTTTGATTTCGTTTGCGACTGAAATGAGTATAAAGATAACTTTTTTACTAACCCCCAGAAATCTCTAATGATGGCGATAAAATAAAGAGATCGGACTCATTATCCCACAAATCATGATTCATAATCTGTCAATTTTCGTAAGGTTTCTTCCAAAATTGAAGATCAAAAGACGAAAATTTTCGGATAAAATCAATGAAACGAAAGACACCCATTTGCAACTACAGATGCAAGCAATAACACAGCGCCAAAAATGAAGAGAAGAGCTTACAACGCGAGATCTAGAGAAAGGAACAGCAAAGGAAGAAGACGATGCGAGTGGAAAGTCAACTCCACAAATCGTTGACTTTTAAGTAATTTTATTTCCTCTGCGTTTAAATATGTAAATAATGTAGCGGTAAATTTTCGATAAATGGTAAAACAAAAATATACTAATGAGGGTGGTTTTAGAAGATAATTAATCTTGGATTAAAATATTATGTAGGTTCAGAAATTTAAAATATAAATGTATATGACGACGATCTGTGTTCGTCAAGAACATTGCTGCTACATATACATCTATATTGTGTATGTGTCCGTAATATACATAAAACTTTCATGTATCTTTACATCAAACTCCTTCAAATCTAAGAACATAAAAAAAAAAAGAAGAAAGAAAAAGAAATCAGATGGATCTATGATCTCACTGAACAAAACCCTGAAATGTTTTGTTTTTTTGTGTGGTCAACTACTCAAACGCCGATGATCAGAATCAAAATCAAAAAGGGTTTCATTCATCAAAAGCTCTTCTTTCATCATCATCATCGATCATCATAAGGCAGAGTCTAAAGCAAGAGCATCAGATCCTTTCATGATTCTGAGTCTCTTACAAGAGGAAGAGAACATATCCCATGGAACATCACCAACCAACATCCAATCTCCATCTTTATCCTCGTACGTTGGTACAACTCCAGATCCTTTGTACCCTTCTCTTTCGCAGTATTCACCGATCGTGAACTTGAACATGCTCTCTAACGCCTTGAGAAGCTCTTGATAGTTTTTGTATGTTTTGAGATCGATTTTGCGTAGGTATGGAGCTCCGTCCATACTCACTTTCACATAGCTCACACTGTTGTTGATCTTGCGGTTAGATCTCACCGGAGGCCAACCAACGATTTGAGTTCTGTAAATTAGATCAAAGAATCATCATTAGTACAACTATTCACCATTTAATTAGATAAAATAGAATTGAATCTCAGATCTTTGACTTACTTTGTTGGAGGTGTAGATTCTTCTTCTTCACGGTTTTCCTCGGTTTGTAATTGACGCTTGTTGCTTCTAACGCAAGAAACCTCTTCTTCTTGTGTATTTTCCTCTGTTCCTGGTAATCCAAGACGAAGCTCTGTGTCCTTAAGGTTAAGCTCATTGACTTTCTCGTACGCCATTGTTTCTTTTTTTTTTTTCAAGATCAAGAAACCTCTCTTTCTCTCTGCTGTGATCTCTATGTTCTTGTGTGATTTTCCAAACGCAGAATCCTTCTCTTGTTCTTGTTCTTGTGTCTTGTTGGTGAGTATGGTTTGATGGGTTTAAAGAAAAGGGAAGATAGATTATATAGATGAGGGAAGAGAATTGCATAGAAGTTAGGGTTAAAGGAAGAGAGAGAGAAGTTGTCGGGAGGAAGAAAGGCAAGAGTGAGGCAAGGGGACAAAGGTGGGACACAAACGCTTTGGCCGCCCATGTGGACTCGACTCTTTCTTTATTCCAACGCTCCTTATTTGCCTCCGCCAACTTTGCTTACGCTACATCTTAGCCGTCGATTTGTCTTTCCCTTTCTTTTTCAAAGGATATCATTTTATTAAGGGACCAAAAGAAAAGAGAAAACACAAAAATATGAAAAGAAAATGATGACTAATGGAGAGAAGAAATTGAAATTCTATCGGCCGACCCGGAAATAAAGTAAACAGAAAAAGAAAATAAAAAGAGAGAGCTGTATTATTATAGTAACATTTTAGTATTACTGTTTCTTAAAGTTTTTGTTTTGCATCTTTTTTAAAGTGTATATAATAAGCCTTTTATCTTCATATCTTGGTATAGAATATTGAGTGTTGATAATCATTACTCCATTTGTTTAATAGTTAGTGTTGTTTCAAAATATTTATAGTAAACAGAAATATAGTAAACAGAAAAAAAAAAGAGTTGTGTATTATTTATAGTAACATTTTAGTATTACTGTTTCTTAAAGTTTTTGTTTTACATCTTTTTTAAAGTATATATAAGCCTTTTCTTTCATATCTTGGTATAGAATATTGAGTGTTGATAATCATTACTACATTTGTTTAATAGTTAGTGTTGTTTCAAGATATTTATATTTTTTGAAAATAATGTCGGTATAGAATCTTCAAGTAAATTCTGACCAATAAAATATGTTTATCAGTTTTTATAATTAAAACTGATATTACAATTGTGTAAATATCATTATAAATATTGATTTTTATTATCACAAAAGTTATTTTTATCCCACGAAACCAATAGCAAGGTAGAGAAGTTATCATCATGAAAATGTTTTTATGATTGGGATAATGTAAATTAAATTTTTTCAGTTTAGATTTTTAAACCGTCATATAAACTGAAACTGTTCATATAAAATTATTTTTAATACAATTTTTTTTTTACTTTTATTCTATTTTGAGGAAAATAACCCATAAATATAATTATAGAATTATATATTAAATATTACACCCTCCGTTTTTAATTATATGATATTTTAAGAGTTTATTTTTGTTTTTAATTATAAAAATGTTTTCAGATTTCAATATTAAATTTGATGATAAATAACTTTTTTACCCTGACATTAATTAATAAATCAAAACTTAACTAACAATAAATAAAATTAGAATAGATATTATACCAAATTTTTTAATTTATGTGCAAAGTGCTAAAATATCTTATATAAAAAACTGAGGGAGTAAATATTAAATATGTTTTGTATGAATAAAAATTCCTAAAACAATACATACTTTTTTTGTTAAAGAAAACAATACATACTTTGAAATGGAAATAAAAAAGGTTTTTTAAAATACAATTTAGAAATTCGACTTATTTTGTAAGAATATAAAATGAATAATTTGATTTTAATCATGTAAACAAAAATAATTAAAATGAATTTCACTGAATCATAATTGCAGGATAGAATTCGAGTTTTCATGTGCTCTTCTAGATCATAAATTTATTGAATGCTCATTCAAATGTTTTCGCTGCCGACTGTGTTCACACTTATCATTTTTGTGTATACAACGGATCAACAGTTTTAACAGTTTTTTCTGTTTGTATCTCATGGGGAATATCATCGTCTATCATAATTAATTACTAAATTTTTAATACTATTTATTAAGAGAATAAAAAGTTGCTTTTAATAGTGCAAGATCCATTAAAAAAAAATATAGTATCAACAAATTTGAAAGATAAATCAAAGAATATTGATACATTTGAAATTATAAATAATAATCTCAATTATCAAAAAGTTTCAATATTTATAAATTTCAAAAATTTATATGGCTGGTGAAAAAGTGAAGGTTATGGATATATACTTATCCTTCTCCATTAGTGGCTCTCCACGACACCTTATGGAAGAAAACTAATACATGATATCAAGGTAAATACTAAGCGATGGATTCCAGAGCTTCCACAGAAGGGAGTGACTCCACTTTACCCACGTATGCATCCATCAGATCAGACTCTTTTCTTTCTTAACTTGTTTGAGAGAGAACACAAACAAATACGGTGGAGAAAGAAAATATTGCAGCTGCAATACTGTGACTGTTTAGAGAAAGTAAAAAAAAGAAAGAAATCTATTGTGTTTGGGCTTCTTGTAACGTGAGCTTTTTAATTGTTAATTGCTAATGTGGAACTGTGTTGTTTGTCATGGAACTGTTTAATCAATCACATATACAAATTTTTTACTATAGATGTATCAAAGATAATAATTCAGTTATATATGTTAAAAAAATTGTTGCACATATGATTTCATAACAAATTGTTAATTGCTATTGTGGCATTGTGTTTATCATGATCCTCCTCCAACACTTAATGGAAGAAAACCAATACATGCTATCAAGGTAATATGAAGGGATTTACATACAAGCTAAGATCTAGTAAGTCCAGCAAATCTGTCGACAAAGTGGTGCTTATGGGGGTGTGTTCTCCCATGATAGATGATGATATTTACCATTGCATGGAAAATGTTATAATTATTGTTAGATTAATGGAGAATAAGAGAGGGAGAGCCATGTGGATCGGGTCAAATGTGTTGGTAACTGATAGAGGAATCAGGAATGGTAAAGCCATGTGCTTTCTTATACATTTGTCTCATTTATTCACACTTAATTATTTCCCTTAAAAATGGGTTGTGGGGAGAGGTTCCACGTGCTCTGTGTACATTGAATCATAAAACTTAAAAGTATGAACCAAAGTGGTAATTTTAATTCTCCCCATAGATTACGCGTAACTATGTTCACTAAGGTTGTAATCCGCATGCGTTCGGATGTTTACGTTGGGCTTTATTCAATGTATTTACCAATTTTAATATTTCATTTTCCTACTTTTGAGATAAAGATTCCTTCTATGTTCTTGCCCCCTCCAATATCCCAAAGATTAGATAAGTCAAGAGATGCAAGATACGTAGCCTCTCTTCTTAATTATATGTATTTTGGTGGTTATGATTGTCAGAGTTTCATGTATAATTTCAGCTAACACAAGCTCATGCAACGTATTTGTTCACTAATTAAGAGAAGCATGCACGAGTGAAACCTTTTTTTGTTAATTGCACGAGTGATGAATACTTTAGTTAACCATTTTTAGATTTCTAAAAATCACTTAACATTGTGGGAACCTTTGAAAACAGATTCTGCGTTCATGCATGTTTTAAGTTTTTTCGATATAGAAACTTCGAAAACGCTCTTAGAAATAGGGTGAGCTCCCTTAGCTAATTGAGGAGTACCTATCGAAGATAACTGCTGGATCTCTCATCTGAGTCATCTCTATGTTGCTTCTATAGAGTATTGCTAAAGCTAGTTATTGGTTAATCTCAACATTTTACTGTAAATTGATTTGAATAAGCACGAGAGTAGTCAGTGAGCGTTGAGTACATTTATGGAGTTAAAACAATTATATATTGAACAATAAGCCAAACAATTAGATGATTTTGGATTATTTTGGTTAGTGTGATCAAGTTAAGAGTTTATGATCATGGATCAACATGAAATGATTTTTATATTTTGTATGTTTTATATTTGAGATTTGCTTTCGTAACTAAATGATACTAGAGTTTTTTTTCTTCTTCTATAAAAACTAAGATTAAACAACAGCTTTTGTTAGGAATAACTTATCGTGTATGTATATATCTAAATGATACAACAGTCATCAGAAATCCGTTTTGCTCGATTTTTTTTTCTTCTTCTTTACTCAGCTTTTGTTAGGGTGGCAATTATTATGTTACATATGTTGAAGTACTTAATTAATTATCTGATTTGTTCATTCAGTTACATAAAACAAAATATGAACCATGAAAATTTAGTATATGTTCAATATGACTATAGTTCGAAACTAATATATATATATATATATATATATATATATATATATAATTAGTAGAGAAATTAAAAAAATGATATATATAGGCATTCCTAACAAAAACCATGTCTAAAGGATGATTTTTTAAAAGAATATATGTGTATAATTAAAAAAAAAATGCTACGTTTGGTAGAAAAATAGTAAAAATAGAAAAATATGAGAAGAGGAATGGTGTTAAAACATACAACTTGTCTTGTGATGCAAACACAAGCTAGACTCCAAAGAGTCGTGTCTTTTGCAAATCGCATTCGTGTGTATCTCAAAAAGTTGGGTCTTTAAATTATTAAAGTTTTTTTTCCCTTTTCGACTCATCACTATCTTAGTCTTATCTCTACCTTCTTTCTTTTATTTATATGTATATGATTTTTATCAACAATTAACGTACGTAGCATCTTTACTTTCTAACTTCTTTAGCGTTGTTTCAATCATCTGGTCTTCAAAGCAACTGTCATATATGAGTGAATCCAATAATCATCCCTTTATAAGATCCAAAAAATTCGAATACAAAACGCTAGATTTCGGAATATATTGACATGACTAGTTTAGATTCACGATTAATCAGGATTTCCACACAAGAATCGGAATTTATTTTTGTGTGACTATATTACATATTCGTGAGGGCTTAAATGATTCAAACAAGAGCAACCCTAATTAGCTGGATATGTCTCAATGTCTTTTCACTGAAGCATTAATGATAAACATAAGCTGTTCGAAAGGCAACGTAGGGACGGGGCCAAGACATTCGGACAGCAACATCGAACCAACTTCGAAGTATTGTCGATAAATAATTTAAGTTCTTGAAAAAATAGGAAACTTGTGGACAGCGTATCAGTGATCGTGGCACGAGATATAGCCGATCATGATCTTGTGTTAGTTATTATCCTCTCATTCCATTAAATCAATTTTCATAATAGTACTATCTTTCTGGGTTTTACTTTCTTGATGGATGTGCATAATTTACTATTCATGAGAGAGACACTATAATATTTCTAACTGGTTCGGTTCTGAAATCATTTATAAAAAAATGGTGCCTAACGGTCGTTTATTATTATTCTCTCCGTTTTAAAATATATGATGTTTTAGGGTTGAGCACGTAAATTAAGGAATTTTGTAAAATACTTA